CAATGTTCTTCACTAGCGTCTTTGTTGTCAGATTTAAATAATCCCTAAATTATTTATATTTTTAAACTCACATTATTTATGTTTTTAATATTACTAAAAACTAGTTTTAAATAAGTTTTTTTCATTTTTTAATGTCCAAGAAAATATAAAATGAAATTTTATTGTTTTGTTTGTAATTTAAAGCTAAGTGAGCTTGAACAGTTATTTGTACATTTAAAAAGTGTTCATTCTATTAAATCAAATAGTCTATATTCATGCTGTGTACCCAACTGTAAACAACATTTTTCTTCATTTCGATCCTTTTCAAAACATATGAAATTAGAGCTAAAAAATAATGATCAGATAACTTACGATCCACCATCTACTTCAATTAATAAAAATAATATTTCCAACAATGAAGATAAAATACAATTTACGGACATCAATGAATCAATTCACTATGCTTCTGATAATAATATACAGCCAATAAATTTAAATGATCTAAATGATCATGCATTACAACTTTCTTTACATTATTATGGCAAAATAAATTTTTCTAATAAAGATGCAACTGAGGTGCAAAAAAATATAAGTGTCTTAACTAATTGTTTTGCTAAAGAAATTGAGTCAAAAATATTAACTGCTTGTACTGATTCTCTACAAATAGAGATAAAAAACTCGCTTATGAAAATAATTGATTTCTGTAAAAATCCTTTTAAAAATATTGATACTGAGTACAAATTTTTAAAACATTTGAAATCTAATAATTTATATGAAAAGTCTAAAATAGTTACTATAAACAATACCATTGAAAATACGTTCAAACACAATTGATGAAAAAAAAGTTAAAGGTGTTTTATTACCACTAAAATTTCAGTTCCGAAAGTATTTTGAATTGCCAGGTGTATTAAACTCATTTTTGGATAATCATAATTCAATGAAGTCAGTTACTGAGTTTTCAAGTTTTGTCAATAGTACATTATGAAAAAAAAAAGTATCATTGTACCAGGATAAACTTGTTATACCTTATTTCTTATACTTTGATGATTTTGAGATTAATAATCCTCTAAGTTCACATTTTTCATCAATTTTAGGAGTGTATTACTCTTTTCCTTCAGCTCCACACTTTCTACGTTCTAATTTAAATAATATATTTGTAGCTGCTTTATTTAAGTCAAAAGATGTTAAGCAAATTGGTAATGACAGAACATTTTATAATTTAATCGAAGAAATTAATGATTTAGAAACTGTTGGAATAGAAATACAATTACACAATCAAAGTTTGAAAGTGTACTTTTTATTAGGGTTGGTCATTGGTGATTACTTGGGGGTTAATTGTGTACTAGGATTTTCCAAATCATTTTCTGCATTATACTTTTGTCGATTTTGTCAAAATGATAAGACAATTACTAGTAAACTGTGTACTGAAGTTATAGATAGCTTACGCAATATACGTAATTATGATGAGGATGTAGCTAAACACGATTTTAAACAAACGGGGATCTCTGAAGATTCAATATTTAATACTATTGCATCATTCCATGTTATTGAAAATTATGCTGTAGACATGATGCATGATTTATTTGAGGGTATCTGTGTATATACTATGAACCATGTCATATTAAAATTAATAGACCTAGGCTACTTTAACTTAGAAACTGTAAATAACCGTAAATAATGTTTTAATTACGGAAATACAGAAATTGGTAATATTTCCCCACCTTTAAAGTTAAAAAATGTAAAAAACATAAAATTGAAAATGACAGCAAGAGAAATGCAAACGTTTATTCATTTCTTCCCTTTAATTATAGGAGATCTAGTTCCAAAAAATGATGTAACTTGGATATTTTTTATCAACTTTGTAGAATTGATTGACTTGCTTTTGCTACCAAGTTTTGATAACTGTTCAATTTTAAAACTACAAGAACATATAGAATATAATAACAAAACATATGTTGAGTTATTCAATGATAATCTCAAACCAAAGCATCACTTTTTGACCCACTATTGTAATATAATTCAACAATCTGGCCCATTAAGATATTTATGGTCATACAACTTTGAATCAAAACACCGCCAGTTAAAAACATATACAAAAAATATAACGTCTAGAATTAATGTTCCTATATCGCTAGGTTTTAAGTATTCATTAATTTTTTCTGATTTCTTATACAATTTTAATATTGATGATTATTTTTCTTTTAAATCCTTAAGCGAAGAAATTTCATATGTTGAATTTATGAAGCAAAAGTAGTATAAAATAGACAATTCAAACACACAATGGAGCTGATCCGCTGATACCTGCTGAACCGCTGATCCCTGATGAACCGCTGATCCCTGATGAACCGCTGATCCCTGATGATCAGCTGATCCTTGCTGATTCGCTGATCCCGCCGCCCGGTTGCGCACGTGCGCGAGATATATATTATCACTTATCATTATTACCGTTATCACTTATCATTATTACCGTTATCACTTATCATTATTACCGTTATCACTTATCACTTATCATTATTACCGTTATCAGTTATCACTTATCATATATATTATATCCGCGCTAGACGTGTACAATTATATAACAGGAAAAAAAACTACAAAATAATTGATCGGGTTTCGAACCCTCGACCCCAATCTTATATCGATGACGCTTTAACCCACTAGGCCACATGACCACTTATAGTCTTAGCGTTATTTTCACTCATTTAACTAGATAAATATAAAATATCATGTATAGTATACAAATTTATAACATAGTGTAATCATAATAATATCTTTCGGCACATAGTTAACATCAACCACCATAATTTACCGTTATAAGTATATACCTTTGTTGGTAATTTCTAAGAATTTTTAGTCCTCTGGCGGCATATACCTTTTTTGTCATTGGATTTGACCGATTTCTATATAGGCGGTTTTTTTTTAAGGATTATCGTTATATGGGTCATCCTTTGGCGGTATACACCGTCCTTTGGCATCATATACCCTTTTTGTCTTTGGATTTGACCGATTTCTATATAGGCGGGGTTTTTTTAAAGGATTATCGTTATATGGGTCATCCTTTGGCGGTATACACCGTCCTTTGGCGGCATATACCTTTCCTTTTATATAAGAAAGTAACTCTCTTTGCTTTTACCGTTATAAGTATATACCTTTGTTGGTAATTTCTATGAATTTTTAGTCCTTTGGCGGCATATGCCCTTTTTGTCATTGGATTTGACCGATTTCTATATAGGCGGGTTTTTTTTTAAAGGATTATCGTTATATGGGTCATCCTTTGGTGGTATACAGTATACACCGTCCTTTGGCGGCATATACCTTTCCTTTTATATAAGAAAGTAACTCTCTTTGCTTTTACCGTTATATGTGTGTGCCGCTACTCTTTTTGTCATTGGTAATTTATTGAATGTGACCGATTTATATGGTGGATGCGGCTATTTCAAAGGATTATAGTCACCATATATGGTCAAAATCTCTGTTCACGCCCGCCATATTTCTTTTTTTCCTACACGATCCCCACCATTACCACCACCCCTAAAAATCCCTTAGTGTCCATGGTAAGAAGAGACTCTTGATTTTCCGTTTAGTCCGTGTACTACCTTTAACCGTTGTTCACGTATATTTACTCTCTCTCAGTCTTTAAAATATTTTTACAAGTGTTTAAATTTATTTTTCGGTGTTTAAAATATTTTTACAAGTGTTTAAATTTATTTTTCAGTGTTTAAAATATTTTTACAAGTGTTTAAATTTATTTTTCGGTGTTTAAATTTATTTTTCTGTGTTTAAAAATAAGTATGGCTGGACCAGTCGCAAATATGGCCAATATTTGGAAGAAACCTTTTAAATATACTCCTCCGTCGCCGCCAGCTGAACTCGTCGTGTCCACAAGTTACACAATTGACTTTACCAACCGTAAGTTTGTGCATATCGGTATTGACCCTACTGAAAATTTTCAAGTCGTCATCCATTTAATAACATCATCTCGCTACGTTAAAATTTCGCCGGATTTCCTTAAACGTATATTTTCGCTGATGGGAAATATACTGTCTTTCATATTGGAACAACCCGAAAAATATAAGCGTACGTTATTTTTGGAAACGGAAATTAATAAGCTATCTAGTATGATGTACAGCGGTGAAAACGTACTAGTGATAGAATCGAAAAATCATGAAGGGTGCAGAATACTATTAAATCGATCGGACCTTATTCAACTTCAATACCTGGAATGGTGCATATTTGAAACAGTTACACGAAAATTGACCATCACACGACCAGTCGTCTTAAGGCAGTTTAAGACTATTGGTAATTATTTAGACCAGGAATTTACCAATGTGGAATCGCCGCCAAAACAAATGAGGAAATGATCGTTTTTATCAAAAATTTAAGCGATGATAAAATTATTGGATCCGCTCCTAAAGAAGAAATGAATTTCATCAGTCAGCTCAAAATAATTGCAACTATTCAATTAGCCGAACATTGGGCGCGACGTTGGAACGGAGGAAATTCACCAGAGGTAAGTCTTAAATTCGTTCGTAAAAAATACAATACATATTTTTATTTTTTTTAGTTATTCATTGAACCCGGGGCATACTCGAGTATGTCTCCGTGCTATGATGAAGATGATTATTCACAGTCAAGGGTAATTTATAATTAAAATGTTTAAATATTAAATGTTATTAAATGTTATTATTGATAGGCAGCTGACGATGATAGGGCGATCAGAGAATGTTTAAAGGGGATTAACCCTACACAGACGAACCCGAACACTAAGCCAAAGGTAATATACACTTCATATAATTATTATTATTATTTAAATATTTAATACAAGTTTATTTTAGTCGCAGAATGTAGAAATGGATCCTCCGATGTTACCACCGAGCATATTCGGCATTCACGAAGATCATTACATACGCGACACTCAGAGTCAGACCATCATATGTAATTTATATAATCATATTTATAAAAACATTATTTTATTATAATTTTTTTTTTTTTTTTTTTTTCAGCAAACACAATTTGACGAAATGAAAATATTATCAGCTTATGAATACGACAAAAAAAATGATCAAGTCATAGGACCACACAGCCAAATGCAAGTTATCATGGTGAGAGGCATTTTTAAAAACTGGAAGCAACCAATATATGTGAACTTCGATCAACAAGTTACGCCAGAAATCCTGAATGAAGCTATATCCATTTTGTATGAAAATGCATATACTGTGGTAGCTTGTGTATCAGATTGTGGTGGTAGTAACGTAGGATTATGGAAAAAGTTGGATATAACTATAGATAAAACATTTTTTCTTCATCCTATTACAAAAGAGAAAATCTATTTCTTAGCTGATGCTCCACACCTTCTTAAACTCATTCGAAACTGGATGTTAGATGCCGGATTTATTCTGTCTGACGGTTCTAGAATAAATTCAGCACCATTAAAAGAGTTACTAAAAATTACTCAAACTGAAATTTCAGTTTGTCACAAATTATCACAAAAACATCTAGACTGTATACAGTCTGAAAGACAAAATGTTGGCTTAGCAGCACAGTTACTCTCACATAGTGTTGCCACAGCTTTAGTCCATTATAAACCTGGTCCAGATAAGGTACTATCAGAAAATACTGGTAAATTTATTGAAACTATAAGTAATTGGTTTGATATAATGAATTCTTATACCCCATCTGAAACGTTGTGCACTAAAAAGCCATATGGCTTAAATTTAGAAGAGCAGATTAATTGTTTAGAAAAAGTATACAAGTTAATATATTCAATGAGATGCCAAGGTAAAAATGTATTGCAAACATTTCAAAAAGGAATTTTAATCTCAATTAAATCTACTCAAGAACTTTTCAAACATTTGAATAAAAAATATAATATATCTTACATACTGACTCACAGACTAAATCAAGATAGTCTTGAAAGTTTTTTTTCTTTAATAAGGAGTCGCGGAGGACTAAATGATCACCCAACACCTTTAAATGCTATGTATAGGATCAGAATAATTGTGCTTGGTAAGAATCCAGGAGTAGTGCAGGCCAAACAGAATATTGAAATACAAAATGACCAATCTAATTCAGAAGAATACTTAGTAGCCAATGTTATGGCAACTGCAGATGTTAAAATTGATTTAAATAATGAAGAAAATAATGGAGAAATATCTGATAGTAGTTTATCATCAGAAGATGAATCTGCCCAAAAAAACCTACAAACAACAAATGAAGAAGATGGCTTTATATATTTATGCGGCTGGCTTGCTAGAAAATTTAAAAACAAATATCTACATTTGGGAAACTATACTAAAGATAATAAACCTGAACATTCATATAGTATGCCTAGTTGGGTTCATCATTTATCATTTGGAGGTTTAACTGAGCCAACTGATTATTGGGTTATGCAAGCTAAGCAGTTTGAAAACATTTTTTAAAAGTTTCACAAAGAAAAAGTTGATCCAAACTCAAATATTGTTAAAAGATTATCTAATTTAATAAAGAAAAAATGTTGTGATATGCCAGAAGATTTAATAAAAGCATTTGTCCTCCAAAGAATATACATTCGAATTAAACAATTGAATGATGATCTTATGACAGAGCAGTTAAAACGTAAAAGATCTTTAACATCAGATAGGAAATCTATAAAAAAAATGAAAAAAATTATAACTTAAATTGTATGAGATAGTAGCTTATAAAAAAAACTAGTATGTACTTTTTGTTAATTTTTATTATTTCAATTATATTATAACTATTAATTTCAATATATTTGTGTAATTAGATATTCTAATTTTCATTTTAAATATTTTTTTATTCCTAAAAAAAATTAATTTTGGCTTTTATTTTGTTTGTAATTTTCATAGTTATATTTGTAGAACTGAGTAATGACTGTATTAAAATTAGTATGTTTATATTTATAATTTGTGATTATTTTTTGTGTTTAATTTGTTTATAAAAGAAAATAGTGACACCTTTTGCAACTTAAACTTTTTAAAATAATTAAACTTTAAAGACAATGAAAAAAAAATGTCAAATGGTATTGTTTATGGATGTAAATAAATATTGTATTTATTGTATTTGCATTTATTTTAATTTACTTATTAGCTCCACTAAACAAACAATTTAAATGTAATTAATTGTATACATACATTGTTTAGAAAACAAAAAAATATTTATTAAGATTTAAGAAGCATTTCAGGTAAATAATTCTTATTATTATATTTTATACTAAATAGTTGTGATATATTTAGTAAGTAACTGTCGAAAAATAGTAAAACATTTATCATAAAGTTAAATGTATAGGCTAGTAGAACGATATAATAATAGTTTTACTAATTAGTCTTGGTTCTTAATTATGTTGAAAAAATGTTTAACGAATTACGAAATCTTAATAGACGTTTTACTATACGGTCTATACGGCCGTGAAAATTCGGGTCTAGTGTGACGTCATTTATCAATAATCGTTTTTGATTGGCTAGCGGTGTTTGGCTTCGACCGTATATCTATTAACCGTGCCCGTAGGGCATGTACTGCGACATTGCCCAACCGTAAAGATTATTGCCTAGGGTTTTAAAAGTATATAATTAGCTTTATAATGATAATAATAATGTATAGATTAACTTACAATCCTGATAAACAAGCCAGGATTTTGGGTCTGCTGGGTTATAATCAGGTGTTCTCTCATTGTTAGATTTTGCGTACCGCATGCTGGCCTGTGTAAGTCCTCCACGAATACCTATAAAAGTTTAATCGTATTATATATATATATATATATGTGATGAAATAAAAATAATTTCCAATATACTAACCATTTTCAATCATTAATAGCATTTCATAATCCGACAGTAATTCCAGTTTTATTGCAGTGTATTTCAACATTGCATCGAAAGAAAACGCTGGTGCTGTAAAATAATATGCTGGATCCAAATTGTATGTGTTCAAACATAAATCCCGGAAATTTTCGAATACATCCGCCAGAAGCAAGACGTCAATTTTCAAGTATAGATCTGAATACTCGCCCAACGTTCGACAATTGAAATGACTCCATACGTCTTCCGCAAACTGATATTCAGTATCTTTTATGTGTTCTTCTGTTAAGGTACTATAAAAGTCCTCTTTTTTGGGTAAAGTTGTTTGTTCAAGCTTAGCCCAATCATCAGTGAAGTCATAAGGATATACACCCTTACGGGTAACAAGCGGTAGATCATTATTGGAAAAATGTTTTGCGGTTATGCGGAATTTTTCCAAGTTTGGTGTTATCAGATTGGAGGCGAGAGTTGATAAGCTTGTAGCCATAAATCTAAATGTATCCACGAATCTGATCGTAAAATCGTTACTTATGTATTTCGAAAAAGTAACGAATTTCTCCTCGCTGTTTGGTATTACTTTTATTCTATGCGAATCGTAACCTAGTTCTGTTACTATAAAATGTGCATCGTAATTAGAAAGATTATGAAGGAAAACTGGTACGTATTTCGGTTGTTTAAGACTTAAATTACACCTATTGCATAAAGTCTGTCTAGACTTCCTGGTCAGGTGGTCATGATCTCGAATACGGGTGTAGTTATTAACACCGCATTTGCATAAATTGCATTTAAAACAAGATGCGTGTCTAGTCGTATCTTCATCAGTCATAATCAAGAGTACGTTCGTCGCTAACAATTTTTCAATTTTTTCACACACATCAACAACACTCTCCATGAAATGTTTTGCGACGTCTTGCTTGTCCTCACTACCACGGTAAATTACGGGTTCGGTTGGTATATTGAATTGTTTTAGCAGCTCTGATGGTACGTTTTCAACCGCCTTAACTATAAATCCGTAACTCATCGGACGGTGTTTTTGTATTATTGTTGTATTACCCCCCTTTTCCTCATTGGTCTTTACAAGTAGAGCCTCGAAATCGGCATATATAACAATAGGATGTCTTTGTGCGTTTTGCCATGCTTTAAATTCAAGAACTGCCCCCTCTTCAGGCATTTTCGGTAGTATGGGTTTATGCGGACCGCATATTAATCTGTGGTGTTCTAGAGCTGCCTGTCCGCTTAGTTTATGTTTTAAGTTCTGTCTGTCGAACGATGTAAAGCAACGCCTACAGAATATAACTTGACCTGCATGACTAGTTTTTTGTGAACGGAGTAATCTCGAAAAATTTGAGATGTAAGTATAATGTGTATTATCACCATCCGTCACTAATAATAAGTCAAAGTGATCCCGTTTTTCATCATCTACGACTTTGAGTGGGAAAACCTCATATGAAGGATACTTTTTCGGTGGCTGTAATCGTTTTTCAAGTCCGTAAACATTTACAGAAACGTTCTGATTATTTTTTTCAAACTTGGTAATATCTGACAGCGGTGTCGGGAATGAAATTCCGTTAAAAATATATTTGTCCTCATGCTCCATATAATTTTCATTGACACGACATTTATTCTGTCCAGTAACGTGCTTTGCCAATACAGCCCATTTAAAGCACTGTTGGTCTATATTTTGAGGATTTATTATTGCCCTTTTATCTATGATGGATTTCGGTAATTCTATATACGACGAACCAGATATCGGTGCATACTTATAAATGGCTAGTAGCAAACCATCGATAGACTGTAACGTAAACCCGCTACCACGAGAAACATAGGCCTCTTCCTCAGCTAATAAATTTATGAAAGCTTCTTCGACTATTGTTTCGATTTGTGTGCCTATAAAAATTTCTTTGGCCGATGTTGTAAACGCTCGATTTTCGGATGAATTGGGTACATTTGGACGGTTATACGTAGCCTCGAGCTTCAAGCTAAATTTTATTGGATGTCTCTGCACGTGAGTTTTTAGCTTGTCTGACAGAGCCGGTTCGAGAGAACGGAGAAAGTCGGGATAATTTCGAATATTATTCAGATTTTTCGAGAAATACCACACTATTTTACGTTTTCCTGACGATGAAATCTCAACCAGACCCGGGGATGTAACCAGTTCCATACGAGCCTTTTTCGCCTTAACAGCCGACACTGTGTTGGCGCTGGAAACGCGTTTGCCACCCACCGAAGTCATATAAGAATCTACTTAAAATAAAATAAAATAAAATCTAGCGACGATAATGTATAAAAAAAAAATCTTACCTGGCGCATCGCATAGCCCTGCATTTTGAGCATTTTCTAAAACTGCCACGCACATATCGTCATATTCATCGTTTGACATATTCGACTGATGATGAAGCTCGTTTGAGGGGCCAGCGGGTATATCTGGTACTATAATATCCGGGGCGATCTCTATTTCACCTCGTTGCAGTGGTCGAGCGCGTACAATACTTTATAAAATAAATATTGAATTAAATATTAAAATCAAAAATAAGAATCTACTTAAAATAAAATCTAACGACGAAAATGTATAAAAAATCTTACCTGACGCTTCGCATAGCCCTGCATTTTGAGCATTTTCTAAAATTGCCACGCACATATCATCATACCCATCGTTTGGTATATTCGACTGATGTTGAAGCTCGTATGAGGGACCAGCGGGTATAATACCTTATAAAATAAATATTGAATTAAATATTAAAATTAAAATTAAAATTAAAAAAAAAAAAACTTAATTAATAAAAATGTGGTATTAAATCTATTAAAAAATCTAGCACGAGTGACATTTCTTTTAAAAATAAAAAAAAAATCTAACGTCTTTATGTAAATAACGGAGGGCCTTTTTAAAAATCTAATTAATTCTGATAAATAAAACTAACCTGTATCATCATCTTCTATTATGACGCATGAGTCACCGGTCTCGCTATCGGGGGCAACAATACGAGGCGCGAACTGGATGACGCTCGGTCGTGCTGGCTGATCTATGATCGGAGCAGCTGGCAATGGTCTGAGGTGAGCTGAAACGATACCTTAGGGAAAATAAAAAATTAATATTGTATAAAATAAAACTTTATATTTTTAGTACATACCATGAATGTTCATCAGATGCTTGTTGAGGTTGTTTTTGTACGAGAATGTCGATGGGCATGCAGTGCACGGAAAACGTACACCTGCATGCTTCTTTTGGTGGTCGACCAAATTACGTTTTGCGGAGAAAACTGACGGGCACTGATCACACTTATACATTTTTACGTAAAGTAATATCGAAATAAAACCACAAAGTGTAAATAATTTTTAAAACGCAGAGAAATAAACACTTGTAAAAATATTTTAAAGACTGAGAGAGTAAATATATATGTGAACAACGGTTAAAGGTAGTACACGGACTAAACGGAAAATCAAGAGTCTCTTCTTACCATGGACACTAAGGGATTTTTAGGGGTGGTGGTAATGGTGGGGATCGTGTAGAAAAAAAGCAATATGGCGGGCGTGAACAGAGATTTTGACCAGATATGGTGACTATAATCCTTTGAAATAGCCGCATCCACCATATAAATCGGTCACATTCAATAAATTACCAATGACAAAAA